GTACTGTCTGAGTGCATACTTTGAGGTATCCTCATAATAACCTTATTATTATACATCTTTGCCTTCCAAGGATACATCATGGAAATACCGAAATGCAAAGAGTTTAGAACAGAATCAGCGAACTTCTTTGTGTGGTGGCAGCCATGTTTTTATTTATTATTAGAGGATGCTTGCACACGTAATTATTCCATATTTAGAATTTCCATTTCCTATTATGGTTGGATGAAAATACCTCATAAAATACTGCAAAATTATGGCCCGCTGTAACTTATGGCGTTACGGTGACAGATGTATAATAATAATATATGTTATGTGTTCTTTGCTTTAATAATTCACAAAAGATACAAATGATTGCCAATTACAAGAATACATGTAAAATGGTATTATATGAATGAGCTTAAAATATCCTGTTTGCAAATAGACCATAAGCTTACCAGTGTTGAAATATTCATAGTTCTTTAGAAGATACTTTCTTCAATACAAATAAAAAAAGCTAACATGATGCTCATACTTCAGTGGTGCAATATTTCCATGGTGATTAAAGCAATTATTGTATATTATAATAAAAAAATACCATTAAAAACATTCTAATGAGGCAATGCATCAGTGTTTTGCTACGATTCATTGTTTCATGTCGGAAGTAAATTGTGCCTGATAAAATCCATCTTCCCCCATACGCACTGATAGATCATAACAACTAAATTATTCATTCACATTAAATTGTTTAAATATGATCTTTAGATAATTGAACATTTCAAGAATTGTGTTTTGTTTAATATGGAGTCCTCTATTCCTGAATCCTGCTGTTCACGATGTATTCTGATCTGAAATCATACTCCAATAAGAATTTGTACATGCTGCATGAAAACATTGCAGGCCAATCTATGTTCCCCATTTTTTTCAGAATCTACACAGTAGAATCTGAATGTGTTGACTTGTATTCCTTCATTAATGCTGACAGTTGTTTATTTCGTTTCCGAAAATTATCTTGTTCCTGGAGTAGCTTCTGATATTCAACCTCCAACTGGGTCTAGAATAAACATTGAAAGATTGTGAGGATACCAGTGATAAATACACAACATCTAGGAGGGTCTACAAATGAACAATCAATGAGTGTAAATCAATCTTCATTTGGGTCTAAAATGGACAATGACAAATTGTAAGCTACACTGGGACATATACCAGTATATTTAACACAACCTCTAGTGGGTTCTAAAATAGACAATGGGGCATTGTAAATATAATCTGGAGCAGATAATCGACCTTAAGTTAGGTCTAAACAAAGACTGAGATATTGTAATACTGCATACAGTCTGGGATAGATATTGAAGCTACTGTTCAGTCTAAACAATGCGACATAATACAATGCTACTATGAGACAAATATCCAACCTTTAGATTAGTCTAATATGGACAATCACTGGTTGTATGGTTACTATGACAATGATTGAACTTCTTTCCTGAGTGACATCATATTGGATAACTTGGCTACTAATGTTATTAATGGCAGTACCTAGTTCTCTGAGAAAATAATTTCAACATTACCCTTAGTTGGGCAGTCTCCAGCTTTTCTCTCTCGATCTCAGCTGTCCTCTGCTTCAGCCATTCCTGATTTTGTAATTTCTGGCTTTCAATCATTTTTTGCAGCTTCTTTAATAAAAATTGAATCAATGCAAAAAGCAAAAATCCCTTAAACAAACTTGAAAACAAACTTAAAAAAACACTGAGAGCATTATGCTGTGTCTGGTGATGAAAACATTCACAAGCGT